ACTGATTCGAAAAAAAACGAAGGACCGTATTTTTTCTTTTTCCTCTTTTTTTTCACGTGTTCATCTTTATTTTCGAAAATATTAGTCGCGGTCTTATCATTTTTTTTTATCTCTTTTTTTTGCTTTTTTTTGCTTTTATTTTATTTTGCAGGCTCGGCCTCCTCGTGCACGGTTTCGCTGCTTTCGGTAGTAGTTTCGCTTTTAGATCTGAAAGAAATCACCAGATGAAGGTATTTTTGTGGCTGTTGGGAAGACAAGTGCGAGAAATAAATAAACAAGCACAAGGTAAAACGGATTAGTAATAGATCAAGGATCGAGTTAGACCTGTTAGTACATGGATTAATAAACGCGATTTCACTCATACCAATCTTCCTGGATGAAATTTGTTAGGTGAAACGTTCAGCTGGGGGAACCGATCAACATGTTTCAGTATCAAATTTGCTAATAAAACTCCTTAATTGTATTATTTACATGTATGCAAATAACAAAAAAAAATAGATATATGTATACATATGATTATTAAAAGTATTTGTACATGTTTCTATTTTCCAAAGAAACTTCTTTTATCATCTTCATTTTTATAATCATCAAATTTTTATACTCATATGAAACTCATATTGTGGTATGTACTAATTGAACTTCGGAACATTAATTAATAAATGTACACAGATATCTTTTATAATCACTACGCAATGTAAAAAACATAATTTTCAGTTTTCTTCGTATCTGTAATATTTATACAAATCCATATATTCATGAGCATATAATATATAACATAATTGAAAAAATCAAATCTAAAAAGAGATTTATGCCACTTACTGTAAAACTATTCTATCTCAAACGTTTTATATACTGTGGCATATTTTTACATGAATGAATAAATAATATAAAAATCCGCACTCTAATTATATGTGTATAAAAAAATATAAATTTTATCTTTTTTTATAATGTACATGATAATTTTTCATGCGAATTTGAATAACCAAAACCTGTTATCCGGTCACGTTAGTCAAAAAGGGGGGTAGTGGAATGAAAAAAAAGTTGGAAAGTACGAAAAAATCCTTTCCTGTATTGATCGATCTAAATATGCAAATCGGGGAACCTCGTCTATGAGTTATCCTTACTTTTTTTTTTTTTTTTTTTCTTTTGTTTTTTTTTTTTTTCCGTTCGTTCTACATTCGGGAGTAAAAAATGAATATGCGTCGTGAGGGCATCGATATTGCCGCACATTATATCGATATTTTTCCATTCTCTTTCCTTTCCTTGCCGCGTAACATTTTATTGCATGCAAACCATTTCCTCATACTAGTCCACTTTCTTATTCTTCTGATCTATGTTGTCTAGCTAGGGCATGTAAAGAAGCGAAGTGACGTTTCGAATGAATCTTCACCTTCCAACTCGTTCAAATTTTCCGTCTTCATTTTTTTCGTAGCCAATTGGAAACAAACTAGAAATTTAATTACCTCTTTCTTACTAATTTTTAGTGTTACCATTTCACTTCTTTCAACCCTCTTTCTCTATTCCTTCGTCTCTAATTCTACGAAGTGTCAACGTTTCCACTTGTCACTCGTGTGTGTATGTGTGTATGTATGTTTTACATTTAAAATACCACATCTCGATACATCTTCTACCACGGTACATTGTAAATATTAACAGTTAATTGCGTCAAAGTCGAGTCGCAGGTATGCAGTCCGACTTCAGGGAGAAGTAACTTCTTATTATTGACCATGTTCCATTTTTTTTGTTTTCCGAGAAGACACAACATTCATAACGTTATCCAAACCCTGATCTTCGTTTTCATTCTCCTGGCTATTATATCTCGCACTTTGTTCGCTTGTTCGTTTTCCCATTTCGCACATGCAACTCGATTTCTAATTTTAGACGACACGTTGATTGTCAAAACTGAATCAAACCACGAGAATGGAAGAAATTTAGTGATCAGGTAAAATGTAACATACTCAGAAAAATATAACTTGTTATTATTTCACGTTATTTGTCGCATTTGTATGATTCTATGACATGTGAAAAATATATAGAATTCATTTCTCCCCTCAATTGGTGACTTTCTACTTAGCTTTTTAATTATTGACTCCGTATTAATTTTACCAGTACACTAGATTTCTTTCATCAGTTATTGTTATCTTATCTAGTTGTATGAGATTTATATTTAAAAAAAAAAAAAAAAAAAAAAAATAGCAGTCGAGAAATGAATAAATAGTAAACTATAAACCTCGTGGATCGATCATTCGACAATCATGTAACAATAGATTTAGTGGAACGATATATATATATAT